GAGGCTAAAGGCTAAATTGTGGCTAAATAGCCACAACTGTGCTATTCTACTTCAACCTGGGTGACAGAGCGAGACCCTGTCTCCAAAAAAAAAAAAAAAAAAAAAAGTATTATTTTTCAACTAAGCAGTGTTAATACATATGTAGAATGTTAGTTTCTAAATTCCATCATTCTTAAAAACAACCAGTGCTAATAACAGGCCTTGGGAAGGGAGTGTACAAGCTTTCATGTCCTGGAAAGCAAAGCCCAGTAAGTACATGATAAAAAAGAAAAAGAAAACATATTAGTGCTGTGGGGGAAATTTTAAAAAAAGGAAAAGAAAAATAGTAAATAAATACACATATACAAAAGCATATATACAACTTTGATACAATCTGATTATCAAAAAAGAATGACAGACACTGATTATAACGTGAAATTTTTTTAAATCCATGAATCTTTAGCTAAAACACTGAGCGAAGGATGGTTAGAGAAACTCTTACAGTAACACCCCACAGCTTATTAGAATCAAAACAAAAAATGGCATGCTTATGATGGACAGCACTGGCAGATATCACCTTAATCAAGTGATCATACTTAATTAAAACTCCCCAAACTGGGGAAAACTGTCATTCTATAACTTGATAAGATGCAATGGGAAGCACAAAACATTAGGTAGGTAGATTCTTGCCAAAGATGTTTACCTGAAACCATTCATGAAAAAAACAAGACAAATCCAGAATAAATAACATTTTATAAGACGAGTTTGGAAGCTTAAAAATGTCATTATAATAAAAAATTTTTTAAAAGATGGTGGGGACATCTAAAATAAAGGAGACTAAAGAGCCACAACAACCCAGTGCAATATGTGATCCTAGATTGCGTCCTAGATGGGGGAGAAAACCAGCTTTTATAGACATGTTGGGATAATTAGAGAACTCTGAATATTTACAGCATAGTATATATTCCTGAATCGATATTAAATTTCTTAGGTGTAAGTAAGAAATTAAAGTGATGTAAGGAAATGTTCTTTTTTTTTTTTTAGATGGAGTTTCATTCTGTCACCCCGGCTGGAGTACAGAGTGCAATCTTGGTTCACTGCAACCTCTGCCTCCTGGGTTCAAATGATTCTCCTGCCTCAGACTCCTGAGTAGCTGGGATTACAGGAGTGCGTCGCCACACCCTGCTAATTTTTGTGTTTTTAGTAGACATGATTTTTGCCATGTTAGCCAGGCTGGTCTCGAATTCCTGACCTCAGGTGATTCACCCACCTTGGTCTCCCAAAGTGCTGGGATTACAGGTGTGAGCCACTGTGTCTGGCCAGAAATGTTCATTTCTTAAACAATATATGCTAAGGCATTTCATAAAATATTTAAAAGCTTTTTATTATAAATGTTTATAATAAACATTATAGACATTTTACATTTTAGAATAATTTAAGACTTACAGAAAGGCTGCAAAGATAGTATAGAGATTTCCTGTAAACCCACTTTCCCTATGAATGAACAGCATATATTACCATGGGACCTTTGTTAACACCAGGAAACTTACATTGGCACATTACTATTAACTGATCTCCAGATTTTATTTGGATTTCACAAGTTTCTTCATCAATGCCTTCTTTCTGTCCCAAGGTCCAATCCAGGACAGCACACTGCATTTTGCTGTCTTGACTCCTTAGTCTCCTCTGATTTGTGACAGTTTCTCACTTTCCTTTTTTATGCCCTCGACAGTCTTGAAGAGTACTGGCCATTTATCCTGCATAATGTCACAAATCTGTATTTGTCTGATGTTCTACTCATGATTAGCCTGAGTTTATGGTGGGGATTGGGGGAAGAATACCACAGAGGCAAAATGTCCCTTCTCAAAACATCATAGTAGAGAGCACCGGATATCCACATGACATAACTGGTAGTGGTCATCTTCATCACTTGGTTATCAAGAGGGTACTGTAACATATCTTTTCCTCTTAGGTTACTTAGGTCTGTTTGTTTTTTCATCACCCCTATCAGTGGAGCTATGCCACATCTGTACAGTACAACTAATTTCATCTGACTGAGTCTGTATTCTATGCTTGCATCTTTTTGATGCTCCTGGTTGATGTATGCATTGGGGAGTGTGTGTGTTCATGTTAGTTTGCATACATTGATGTCCATTCTTTGTAACATAGAGTTCTATAGGTTTTGGCAAATACATACAATTATGCACCTGATATGGTTAGGCTTTGTGTCCCCACCCAAATCTCATCTTGAATTGTAATTCCCATAATCTCCACATGTCAGGGGAGAGACCAGGTGGAGGTAATTGTATCACAGGGGTGGTTTTCCTGATGCTGTTCTTGTGATAGTGAGTCTCAGGAGATCTAATTTCGTGTGTGTGTGTGTGTGTGTGTGTGTGTGTGTGTGTGTGTGTTGGAGTCTCGATCTGTTGACCAGGCCAGAGTGCAGTGGTGCGATTTCAGCTCACTGAAAACTCCACCTCCCAGGTTCAAGTGATTCTCCTGCCTTAGCCTCACGAATAACTGGGATTACAGGTGCCCACCACCATGCCTGGTTAATTTTTTGTATTTTTAGTAGAGACAGGGTTTCATCATGTTGGCCAGGTTGGTCTTGAACTCCTGACCTCAGGTGATCCACCCGCCTTGGCCTCCCAAAATGCTAGGATTACAGGTGTGAGCCACCGTGCCTGGCCTGAGCTGATGGTTTTATAAACGTCTGGCATTTCCCCTGTTTGCAATTATTTTCTCTCCTGCCACTATGTTAAGAGGTGCCTTCTACCCAGACTGTGTGTCCTGAGGCTACCCTAGCTAGCCACGCAGAACTGAGTCAATTAAACGTCTTTTCTTTATAAACTACCTAGTCTTAGGTATTTCTTCATAACAGCATGAGAATGGGCTAATATAGCACATAACACACAGTACCATACAGAACAGTTCCTTTACTCTAAAAGTGTCCTGTGTACCCCCTTTCTGGCCAACAACCCACCCCAGCTCAATCCCTGGCAAATTCTCAACTGTTTTCTAGCCTTGTAATTTTCTGGAATGAATAGAATAATAAAATATGTCACCTTTTGGGTTTGACTTTTTTATTTGCATTTACATTCATATATGCCACTGCATGAATTATTTAATAGCTTGTTTCTATCATTGAATAGTATTCCATTGTATGAATGTACCGTGGTTTTATTCACTCTCCTCTCTGACTAAAAACATCTTGGCTGCTTCCATGTTTTAGCAATTAAGGATAAAGCTGTTTAAATATTCACACACAGATTTTTGTGTAGACACAAACTTCATAAACCCTTTGGTAAACACCTAGGAGTACAATTTTTGGATTGTGTAGTAAGTCTATGTTTAACTTTACACAAAAAACTGGCAAGTTGTCTTCCAAAGTGGCTGTACAATTTTGCATCGCCACCAGCAACGAGTAAGAGTTTCTGTTCTACTTTCCCACAAGCATGTTATCGTCAGTTTTTCTGTATTTTCACCATTTTAGTAGGTGTACAGTAGTATCTTGCTGTGGTATCAACCTATTTTAGTGCTCTGTTGTTCATTTTCAAATTTAAATGCTACAAAAATTTTTAATTTTAAAAAACTTCATGTTAAAATCCAAGCACCCCAGATACGCTATTCATAAAATTTTAAGCTACAGATGTCAGATCATGTAAAGCTTTTTCTTTTAACTTAAAAGTTATTTTTTCTAATTATAAAAGAGAGAGAGAAAGAGAGAGAAAGAGTGTGTGTGTGTCTGCGTGTGTGTGTGTGTCTGTGTGTGTCTGTGTGTGTAAGACATTATTAATAGCTCCAGCATCCAGAGATGAATGCTAATTTCTTCCAATTGTGTGTGAGCACATGTTCAGATTAAAACACATGTAAAGACCTAAAGTCGAAAGCAGGTATGAGTCTAAGATGTTTAAGGAAAAGAAAGCAAGCATGATGTAAGGAAAGAATGACAGTAAGCAAGGAGGTTTTAACAGAAAATGAATTTGGAGACAGAAGTCAGTTCATGTAGATTAGGGATTATCCAACTTTGGTGTATCATAAAATCAGTAGGAGGGCTTATTAAAACAGACAGTAGCCCTGCACCTGGTTTCTGACTCAGCAGATCAAGAATGGGGCCTGAGAATTTGCATATCTAACAATTTTCCAGGTGCTGCTGATGCTGTTGGTGCAAGACCACACCTGAGAACTCCTGTCGGGTCTGCTACACTATAATGAGCAGTCTGATTTTTATTCCAAATAAACTGGAAGACATTGGAATATTTTAAGGATAGAATGTTGTGATTTATTTTGAATTTTAAATAGATCATAGTGACTGAGGTGTGAAGGTCAAATCAGAGAGGACAAAGTGATCAATGGGATAATACCAAACAGACTACTTATGTGAAATGATGGCGCCTTGGATTAGGGTAGTGGTGGTATTAATATATGGATGGATTCAGAATAAATACAGAAAAAGCTTATAAAAGTTGCAAATGGATTGGGTGCTGGGATGAGAAAAAGATAAATAAGGGAGATGTCTAGGTCACAGAATTATTTAACAACTGCCTCTATGGAAGACTTCATGAGATACAAGTCATAAATTCTGTTTCAAAAATATGTGATTTGAGATATCAATATACAATTGGAAATGTGAAGAACAGATGACTTCAAATACAATGATGATCCTTTGAACCCAGGAACAGAAATACGTTACATGAGAATTACCTTTCACCAAAAAGAAGTTGGCCAGTACCATTCAAATTTAATGGCCAGTGAAGCACATGTGTGAGAATGGCTGAGTTGGCAACAGGGAACTTGTATGTACCCCTTACACGCCCAAAGCCTATCACAATACTTTCTGTGTTACAGACAATTAGATTTAATAAATTAGAAGTGTAAGTTGGGCTTCTGGGAAATGATAAATGATTTTACATAATTTATGAACATTAAGTTCACATATTGCATACCGGACTACCTTAATCATGAATTCAAAGAAGTTAAAACTGTTCTACCGTGGACACACAGGGCTGACCACAACTCACCCTTCCCAGTTCTTTATCTTCTAGGGCCAGAACTCCAGTGCTTTCTGTGAAGAGTTTCACTTTGACCACAGGCCGAGGATGGGTGGTGGTAAAATCTCCTTGAGTCCCCCATCTGTAATGAAGTAACAAAAATGTTCCTTAAAATGCAGCATTAATTTTTTCCCCCCAAGGAGATGTATCTCCATAGAAGGCAAATTAAACAATACAGAATCTTTGTTGCTCAATGAGCTTTTTATCTTTGCTTTTGTTCTAGCAGATAGCACAGTCAAGGAAAAGAATAATACGCTCTACAGCTTGTAATAGTTACTCAGCTGTTCAAAAAATTAGCATGTTGGACTACAAAACATAGTATGTTATGAGAATTTAGGTTAAGGTAAAGCAATGTAGTTGTAGCTACTGAAATCTATTACTTTGTTAATTCAAATGCAAATTATAGCACCATTTTTACGGGCAGCTGGGAAAAATTGCTAAGGATTTGTTTACATAAGAGATAGTTTCTCAGAAAATGATTTTTATATACTAAAGACTTATCGCATCTCTTTTTGGGAGGTCTTTATTAAACATTATATATTTTTTAAAGTAAGCATAATTATTTCAGATCTATTACTTTATATGACTTTTAAAGCCCCTGCCAAAAAGAAAGAAATATGCATCATAAGAATCTGAATGTTTTGTAATTAATTTCCCACTACCTTCTCTTAGGAAGGGAATAAGTTTGTCGACATCTGGCTTTTAAAATCATCACAACAAAATAACAGGTTTTATTGGCTTATCTTTTAATTAATAGCATCTTGTCTTTACTGTAGACCAGTTCATTCCAGCTTATTTACAAACTTAACTGGCGCACACCTGATATTAAACAATCTTATCAATATTTTTCACAACTCTGAGAGATGAGATACAATGAGACCCAGCACAGCATGAAGAAAATGCCGTTGAGCAAAATACCAGAGAAGAGGGGAAAAAAATGAGATTTAACATACAGACTTATGTTAAAAATAAATCAACAAATAAGTATCAATTTTCTTATGCTGTCTTGAAAAAAAACAAAACAATTAACCATTTTCATGGAGCTGTCTATATTTTATTTTATAAACCTCATTCAGAGAGCTTACAACATACAGAAAACTCAGTAAAGCATGTATTAATACAATTGAACAAATAATTGTGATTATATCTTCCTCTCCTATCACACCATTTATAATAAATGTGTACAGTAAAGCAGGGACCATTTCAATGACTAAAGAAACTAGCATCTAGATGCAGTCTGTTTTTTTGAAACATGATATGCCAGAGGGAAGGGAAGGTTCAATTAGAGAAGAAAAGCAGCTTAATTTCTATTTTAGGCTTCCAGAATGGGGTTAGTAAAGAGTCTTTTTGCCATTTCATATAATTAAGATGGTTTACATAAAGCAAAAGTAAAATAGAAATAAAAACAAAAATAGATTCAGAACCAAATTAAGGGATAAAGAAAAATTCTCAATTTAGTGTGTGGAGTCTTAAGTCTTGAATACACGTAGTCAGGCAATCTGGTTAACAGCCTGGGAGCTAACTCTCAGGATGTACTCTTCTTTTAATTTAGTGTCACATAGTTAAATTTAGGAGACTAATAACCTTGGGAGACATTTTCTTATAACTGAAGTAAAAGATTTTTGATAGTCATATGGAAATAGTCTAATAGTTTTCCACAGAATTTGCTGATTTTTAAAATTCTTCCGATAAAACTTCTATGTATTAAACTAATACATTTTCTCCTCTAATTTCAAAATCCTTTGGAAGTAATTACACTAAATGTTCATCTGTGTTTCCCAACCTTCAGCAATATATGATTACCCAAAGAGAGAAGTGAGCTTTGTTCTTTTAACCTGGTCCTTCTGAAATGCATTCCAATTCCACTTTGCTGGATAAAATAAGACAAGTAACAATGAATATGGTGAAAAAAACCCTGCTCACTCATGGTTCCATGAACTTCCAGAAAACTACCTTTCACCTTTGATCCTTCACAGACAAGTATATTCAAAAACTATTCTACAATATATATCACTACAGCACATTTCTCATTTTTGCATTTATATATCTATATCTATCTCTCCATCTATCAGCTATCCTTCTATTTATCTATCCATCCATTCATTCATTCATACATACATACATACACACATATTTTTAGACAGAGTCTGGCTCTGTCACAAGGCTGGAGTGCAGTGACTCTATCTCAGCTCACTGCAACCTCCAGCTCCTGGGTTCAAGCTAATCTCCTGTCTCAGCCTCCCAAGTAGCTGGGATTACAGGCATGCGCCACCACACACAGATAATATTTTTGTAATTTTAGTAGAGATGGGGCTTCACCATGTTGGCTAGGATGGTCTCCATCTCCTGACCTCGTGATTCGCCTTGTGATCGTTTCGGCCTCCCAAAGTGCTGGGATTACAGGCATGAGCCATCACGCTCAGCTGCATTAGAAGATTTTTATAGAACGATACATTTTTAAAGTGTCCATAAAATGAGATTCAGTTAAAGAATAACAATACAGTGAAAATCAACATTTCTGCCATTCAGGTTAAGATGGGGAATGCACTACAACGTTAGGAAAGCCCTTGTATTCCCCTGGTCTCCTCTTCATCTCCTCTCCACCCCTCACTACTCTGACATAGCTAGCATCCTGAATTTTATATTTATCACTCCCTTGAATTTCTTCTTAAAGGGAATATTTTCAGTATTTTATCTCTAAGTGTTATCATTGCTCTAGGTTTTTGGTAGATAGTCTTTTATAGGTAAAAGAAATTCTCATCTTTATTAGATACATACATATTAGGATAAATATATATGTGTGTGTATATATGTATTATATGCATAAAATAAATATATACATAAATAAAAATATATATCACAAATATATATGACAGAGATATTGTATGTATACACACATATATGACGGAGATACTGTGTGTATATACATACATAATATCTCTTCGTATCATATACATTACATCCTAACATACTTCATATACATCACAATATCACTTATATAACATACATTCGTATCATATATATCACATTATCACATACATATGTATATATGTGTATATATACACATATAAAATAAAAAACAAACATGAAGTTGTCTTCCTTTCCTGAGATAAACTTTTTTTAAACAAAAAAACTAATACAAGCATCAGTAAGTTATATTTTGTTTAGCCTTTTATATAAATGTTCATTATTGAGACTAGCCTGTAAATTTACTTTCTTGGATTTTTCATGTTTGATTTTATTAAGTTGAAAAGTGCTATACTTTTATTCTTTGAAAGAGTTTGTCAAAAAAATGACAATTATTTGTTCTTAAAACTCAACTATTAAACTGTTTGAACCTGATGTTTCTGTATAGAAGATACTTGCTAATGAAGCAATTACTTTATTGGTTGTAGTTGTAGAACTACTCAGTTTCTCTCTCTCTCCTTAAGTGAATTTTGGTAAGCACTTAGTTTTATGTTATTTATTTCATCTAAGATTTTCAAAAGTATTTATACAAGTTGTAAATTTTCAATCTTTGAATACTTATAGCATCTGTTATGTCTTTCTTCATTCTTAATGTTTTCTTCTTTTCCATTTTGAAACTTAACAGAGGTTCACCACTTCTATTATTCTTTTCAAACAATTGTCATTTGACTTTGAAGACCCTCTTTACTTCATGATTGTTTTCAATTTTACTACATTTTGCTCTTTGCTACATTATTCTAATTTACCTGTTTTAATCCTGCTGTTTAAAATTTTAAGATGAATGCATGGTCATTAAGTTTAAGCCTTTCTTCCATTCTGGGCAAGCATTTATGACTATAAATTTGCTTTAACCACTTTACAGCACCCCATAAATTTATAATGTGTTTCTTTTACTGTCATTCAGCTGTTTACAGGTGTGATTTAGAATTCCTCTTCCTATATATCTTTTCCTTTTTCTTATTAAGTTATATTCTTATTACATCACATTAGATAACATAGCCTGCATAATGCTGTTCATGTAAAATAATTGAAAAGGACTTTAATTTCCATATTTTTTTTTGTGTGTGTGTAACTTTTCCATGAGTACTCACAAAGAAAAAAGTACTCTCCATTATGGGTACATTATTGTATTTATTTATGGCCAGAAGTTCTACTTATAAGGTCTAGGACTGCTGAGTTAAGGGGAGGAAATGCTAATGACCAATTCCTGTGAAATGAAGAAGGCTTAAATAATGGGTTCTCAGGCAAAGGAAAAGGTGAGGCACAAGGAGACGGGCAGATCCTGACCGTAGCAAGTGAGAAAACAAAGTTTTTACCAACATTCAACAAAAATGTACAATTTTAAGGGGGTGCATAGTTATATATAAATATTTATGCTTGTATCCCAGAATGTTGAGATTTATAGTTTCTCTATATAATTTATCTATAAAGAAACTATAAATCCCAACATTCCGGGATACAAGCATAAATTGGCACCAATGTGATAATTTCTTCTTTGGGAAATTAATGTTAAAAAAAATATGGATGGTAAGAAAATCGTAAATTCTAGAATGAATAAATTAAAAACACAAGCTTCCCCTGATCCCCACCCCACCCCACAAAAAA